GGGGGCTAGCATTTCGATTATGTCTAGCAAAAATTTTTGTAAGTATTGGCCTGGAAAAACACTTGAGAGGGAGTCCATGTGTGTCAGACAATTTGATGGGTCTAAAATTGTGGTTTTAGGAAAAAGTAAATTGGGGGTGCATCTCAAAGATACCATGTTTTTCCTTGATTTATGGGTAGTAAAGGAAAATGTTGAAACTATTATGGGTTGGGATTGGATTACTAAGCTAGGTCCTCCTAATAATTTTTGGAATATTTTCAATATTAGTGATAATGTAATAATGGATGTTGAAGAGAATGGAAATTTGGATAATACCGGTAATAAAATTTGTGAAATTTCGGAGGAGATGATGGAGAAATCGAGTAAGTTGGATTTTAATGATGAGATAGATGAGAAGCAAATTATGGTCGGGGAAAAAGAGGATTGGAGTAAAGTTAATCAAGCTATTCCTATTCTAGTGAGGCAGTATGGCATCATTTTTGATGAAAAATTAGGTTGTTTAAATGATTATCAAGTTGATGTTCAACTTAGGGAGGGTTTTTCACCGATCTTTTTGGTTTGTCGGCGAGTTCCTTTTGAATGGAGGAAGGAGATCGATGAGGAATTAGATAGATGGGTGAAGGACAGCATTATTATTCCTGTGGGATATAGCGAGTGGGCAACCCCGTTAGTGCCAGTTAGAAAGGCAAATGGTAAATTGAGACTTTGTGCGGATTTCAGGGTCACGGTAAATCGATGAGTAGTGGAGGTAAAATATCCGTTGCCTCGGATTGAAGAGATTTTGGCTCAGAGGGAGCTAAATATTTCTCAAAGGTTGATTTTTCTTCAGCGTATTTACAGTTACCATTGAAGGAAAATATTCGTAAATTATACGATAACGACGCCAAAGGGGTTATTTGCTTTTTGTAGATTACCATTTGGGTTGAGCGTATCGGCTCCCATTTTTCAACGTACCATGGCGTCTGTTTTCCAGGGAATGGAAGGGGTTACTATATGGATGATGTACTAATTACCGGAGTGACGACAGAGCAACATAATCAACGTTTGGAAGAAGTGTTTAGGAGAATTTGTGAAAAGGGCTTGAGAGCTAGTAAGGAGAAAAGTGTTCTGGGCGTAATGGAGGTAGAATATTTAGGGCATCGAATAAGTGGTATTGAGGTGAAACCCCTGGGTAAAAATTTGAAAAATATATAATAAGTATGAAGCAGCCGAGTAATAAGGCGAAGGTACAGGTTCCTGGGAATGGTAAATTATTATCATCGTTTTGTGGAGGATTTCGCCAAGTTGGCAGCGCCGTTATATGAATTACTGAAGAAGGGAACTCATTTTGAGTAGAAAGGTGAACAGCAATCAGCTTTCGAAGTTTTAAAGGAAAAGATTGGAAAAGAGCCATTGTGTTTTAATAATGACTGGGAGATCATTTTGGCGGTGGATGCCTCGAATAAAAGGTTGGAGGGGTGTTGTTGCATATAGTGGAGGGCTTAGAAAGACCTATTTTATTTTTCTCGCGTGTTTTTCGTGAGGTGGAGACCAGGTATTCTGTGATTGAACAGGAGGCCCTGACAGTGATTTTCGGTTTGACGAAATGCCGTGAATATTTGATTGGTAAAAGATTTGTAATTTTTACTGATCACAAACCGTTAATTCACTTATTTCGAAAAGACAACCGAGAGTTGATGATCCCCCGGTTGCAACGGTGGTTGTTGCTGGTGGGTAGTTTTAATGTGGAAATTCGTTATCGTCGGGGCAAAGAGAATTGTTTGCCGGATATTTTATCAAGATTAGGGTCTGATGATGAAAAATGTGAGTTGAAGGAGGACAAAGTAGGGGACATTGAAAAGGCCCTGGTATGTTCGCTTTCGCATATGCTCAAAGGGGGTCCTACCAATTGTGAGGATCTTAGGTTGAGTACATTGAGAGATAGAGAAATGACTAGGATAAAGTTATGTATAATGGGAAAAAAGCCTTGGGAAGATGATTGTAAACTTTTTAAAAAGGTGGAAGAGGAATTGTCTGTGGTGGATGATTGCCTAATGAGGGGTAATCGAGCCGTAATTCGGTTCAAATTACGGGGTAAAATTGTAAATTTGTTACATGCTGGACATCAAGGTCAGGGGAAGATAAAATCGTGGGCTCGGGAAGATGTTTGGTGGCCGGGTATGGGAAAAGATATTTAAAATATCACAAGGAAATGTGAGCCGTGTAATTCGTGCGCGGCGATGACCCGAAAGGAGGTAGGTCAGATATTGCCCAGGTCGAAGAAACCATGGGAACGTTTACATGTAGACTTTTTCGATTTAGATAAAAGGGCGTATTTTTTGCAGCTCAAATGGTCAAGCTGAGGGGATGGTAGCAATTGTTAAGAATTGGATAAGGAAGGCTGGCAGTCACGGGAATGGGGCGTATTTGGCTCATTTGTATTACTTCAATTCCAGGAATAAGGAGGAAGTCACCTACTGAAGTTTTTGGGCAGGGACTAAGGTTCCCCTAGATTTTCTAAGGGCGAAGAGTCACGAGAAGAGAATTCTGGAGGACAGAAAGATTAGATTTGGAGTTGGAGAAAAAGTATGGACTCGTCTGTTTGACGGAAGGGGCAGGAAATGGGCCAAGGGCATTGTTGGGGAAAACAGAGGTTCAAAGTTGAATTTGATTCAATTAGAAATGGGCGGCACAGTTATGCGCCACAATGATCATATACGACCCCGGGAGTAGACCTGAGGTATCTTAGATGACAGTATAAATATGAAAATTATATAAATAAAATGAAGGTGCATCCCGAAAGATTAGACTCGTTTCCGAGCAGATATATAATGTAGTTATGTGATGAATGAAGATTTGGGTAATGTATCGTTCGTGGGAATGGGAAGTTAAACGATCAAATAGGACAGTCTGTTTTTCTTTTCATTTTTTTTTCTAATTTGTCTACATCTATGGTCTATACCCGCCCTCAACAATGGTCTATATATTTACACTCATAGATGGCTTAATTATTCAATCTTTAATGTGGGCACCTAGCCCAAAATAGGGTATCGACATCATTATTATTATCATCTTCATTTTAAGCAAAAACTATTCCTGCTATAGCCTAATAATATTGTCATTTATTTTTACCCGGATACCAAATAAACACTCTCACACTTTAACCTAAGCTTTTTTGGATAGAGAATTTAATTCTCTCAAATTCTTTAATATAAACTTCCAATCATAAACATCATTATCAATTACATCCAAAAACCAAATTTATATTTCTATTTATTCCCCTAAATTTCAATATCATGTTTAATTTCAATAGAATATCATTAAATTTTTATCAAAAAAATATTGCTAAAAGATTGATTTGAGCTAATTCTTAAAAACGACTAACTCTATATTTTGGCCAGAAAAATAACTACTCAATTTAACTAATAGATGTCCAAACCTTCGTTTCATTTATGAGCGATATATTTTTCTGGTTAAAATAATGAGTTATTTTTTAAAAATCAGCCCAAATCTAGCAGTATAATAAACTTAAAAAAAAATATTACACTTTAAATAATTTTGTTTTTATATAAAATAGACTTTAATATCTCATAATAACTTTTTTACAGCTTTTTCATAAAAATTTTAACCTTTTACCAATGGTCACTTTACTCCAAGAAGATGTCTATTATATAAATCGTTGTTGATTGACTTCTAGATTAGCCAATAAAATAAGTGTCCAAAAACTATTATTTTATAGCTTAAAATTTATGATATTTGTTTGGTAAATTTTATAATCTTAAAAAGGGGTTTTTGATAAATGCTTTAACATGAATTTCTTGAAATAAAATTATTATTTATTAATTATATAGCAATCAAGTCTGAATTGGATGCTGTGACAAAGCTTATTCAATTATTTAAAAATGGCCTTATAGAGTTCAACCATTTCCAGAGGAAGTTGCATATATAAGGATAAATATTGTCGCACACATATAAATTTATTTAATTTTTTTGCAATTAACTTTAGTTTTTTATAAAAATTCATATATGGTAGTCATTTAATGGCTAATATTACAATATTTGATTACATAAGAACTGAATATTCAAAATTAAATAATTTAAAACAAAGCATGATACCATTAATTGCTTGTATAAACCGAATTTTTATATTCTATTTTTTTTCGGATTAATGATATTCAATCCAATATATTTCATTGATTAATACACATGATAATTAAAGGAGAAATCTATGAGGTTTCCTTTCAAAATTATATAAATTGAATGCAGGATGAGCATTGCCTTTGGTTATAATATAGGATGATTGCTACTTGTAATAATTTTGCTAGCATATGGTAAAAATGGTTTGAAAATAAAGGCAAATATTAAAAATTTAGTAAAACTGTTTTCTTTTTAAAATTGTTACAGACTAAATTTAAATTATTTTTGTTACAATCTTAATTTTCACTTATACGTTTTATAATTTCATTAAAAATATAAAAAAATTCCCCTAAATTGATTACATGTTAATCATCAGGGGTTTCAGAAGCCTTAAAACAATATAACTCAGAAGTCAATGAATTAATTTTTTTTTAAATTTGGGTAAAATAAACTGGAACTTGTTTATGAATGATTTTTTTTTTAAATTACAAAAGATATACTTATAAAATATTTTTTTACATATTTTAGGTAAAATTGGATCAAAAATTTTTTGTGGCATTCTTAAAAAAAATATTCTTTTAGAAATGTTTATTTTAAAAAATCTTCGAAAATCATATTTATTGAAGGTATTTTATTTTAAAGAGCATTACCAACTCTGGTCAGAATGATAATTAGCGCAATATGAGTTTTATAAGCCCCGTGATACCAATTTAATAATTAGAAGAAATTTCGTACGTTCATGTTTTTTGTGGCATTTGACGATATTATATATAATATAATAATATGATATACAAAAATGCATCTTTACTTTGATTCGCCTTATTTACTTTTTATGAAAATTTAAAAATTGTAAAAATTAATAATTATGCAAAATATAATATCAGAGCCCCATCAACTCTCTATATCAATAACCATACTTCACAATGATTAAAAGTACTAAAAAAGCAAACTCTCCACACCAGAAAAATCACAATCATTGAAATTATGAAGAGCATTTCAAACTCAACTCTGGTCAGAACAGGGTTGCCATGTCTCCCCCCCCATCAGCGGAAGACTTTCGCACGCAGACATCTCTCTTCCGCAAAACTATCACAATTAAAAATCTCCCGCAAAAATCTACCGCAATATTTTAATTTCTCCCGCAGGTTTTTTTATTAGTATTTTAACATTTTTAATATACAAAAAATAATTTTGAGAGATATTAATTAATGATTGTTATATTAAAAATAATTTTAAATATTTATTCGAAAAATATGTCTAGTTTGTAAATTTCTATCTATCCTGTTTTATTTTATCCAATAATAAATTAACATAATTTCATTCATATAAGTCAGTACAGAGGAATATATCAACATCGATTGCAATACAAAAATATTCTACTTGTGGCAGATGAGCAAGGTTATCACAAGTGTTTTAGTACCTGAATCCTAGAGGTAAATTCTAGACGATTTAAAAGATGGGCATTCATATTCAACTCTAACAGATGCATCTAATAAGAGAAATATTAAAACATTTCTTTTGATCCTTCGCTATTTCAAACAGAATAAGAACATTTCCATAAAACTGTTAAAATTTTTTCCTCGGATAGTGAAAAATCCAACGATGTAGCTAGTCACATAATGGTAAATATAGCTGTCTCAGGTTTATCAATGATTTTCATGAGCTTTCTGCGCTGATAATGCCTCTCTAAATTTTGGCTAAAACTAAAGTTACCGAATTGAGGCAGCACAATAATGAATTAATACCAATTGGAATGTACTATCTGTGAATGTCGCAATAATTGTGATGAAATGTTTTAACATATATAGTCATCAACTAAAAGTGTTAATGAATTAAAAGAGTTGGTGAAGTGGTCTGACTTGGAATGGTGTGAGTTGTTGCGATATATACCTATCAGGTGATTATCATTAATATCTGCCATCGATCGAATTTTAAAATTTTACAAATCTTTAAAAAAATACTTTTCTTAAATGAAGATTTTAAAAGCTGTCCTAAAATTTTGAAAAATTTTTCGAGTATGAAATGGCAGAAGCATGTTTGGGATTCGTTTCACATGTAGGAATCTACTTCATGCAGTTAATATTCAGTTGCAATCAGAATATTATTTATAAAAAAGATTCACAAAATCATGCTACAGCTCTGTTCATCTCTACAGTTAAAAATTGATAATAAATTTTATGGCGCTATTGCTAAAAATATTATTAAAATGTTCAAATAATACTCTAATACATTTTTAAATGAAGCAGATATTATTATTAATACAATTTTAGAATATTTACAATCAAAATTTGATTTTAATAACTCCAAATGTATAAATATTATGACCTTGGAACAGAAACCATCAATTGATGGTTTTATTAATTAATAAATATATTAAAAATACCTAAAGACATTGATTTTTTGTTTGAGTAGATTGTAAGATTGTAATTTTCTCTATTTTTTATGATTCGCCAAAATACTTAAAACTAGTTGGTCTAAAAGCAGAGAAGAAATGGGTAGAATTTTTTAGTAATAACGATAAATGCCGATGCTTGGAAAAAATATGCGAGTCCTTACCTCATTCTAATGCCTCATTTTTAGCCTGATGAGAATTGCCTGGAAAAAGGAGAGAAATCGGATTGCGTTAACAACATTAGAGGCCGAGCTAATGATTAAACAAATATATAATACGTCATGCCAGAAATTTTATAAATATCTCAATAAAGACGGTAAACATTTAGTTCTATTATTTAAATAAATAATATAATTAAGTTTTAGCAATGGCGCCATAAATATTTCCCATTTTTAACTGTAAAGATGAACATATCTGTAGCATAATTTTGTGAATCTTTGTTAAGATTCTTCTGATTGCAGCTACACATTTACAGCAAGAAATAGATTTCCTACATATGAAATCATTCCTAAATATACCTCTGTCAATCATTATTTAAAAAAATTTTTAAAATATTAGTTTTTATAATCTTTATTTAAGAAATATTTTTTAAAGGTTTATAAAATTTTAAAATTCCGATGGCGGGTATTAGGAACATATCGCAACCAACATTGTGCTGACTCAATTCTGTAAATACACCCTGATTTTACCAAATTCACTGAGGCATTATCAAATCAGAAAGCTGACATGCAATTTATTGTTAATCTCGAATCTGCTATTGATTGGCTATGTCTTTGGATCTTTCACTATTTGAGGGAAAAAAATTAATAGTTTAATTGAAACGACCTTAATTTTGATGAAATAGCGGAGGATCAAGGGAAATATTCCCTTATTAGATCATCTGTTAGAATTGCATATGTATGCCCATTTTTCAAATCGTCAACTGGATTTAGGCTATAAAACATTGATGATAGCCTTGCTCATTTCTACAAGTATAGTTTTCATTTATATTAGAGTTGTTAAACATTGTAATGATAAATATCTCTGTGAATGTTATACTACAAGATAAGTGATTACAATGCAACTGTAGTTTCATCTGTATTATTTCTTATTCTTAAAGTACCTTTTATGTATTTAAAGTGATACGTGATAATTAAGCGCCTATCCCTATAATGTTATACACACACACACGGTAGATTTCCGATTGCGGTCGCTTTACGGGACATTCGCATAAAATATATTTTTAATTGTAAAATTAAAATCTTAGCAATTTTTATATTTCTACCGCAATTTTTATATTTCTACCGCAATTTTTATATTTCCAATTTTTATATTTCTACCGCAATTTTTATATTTCTACCCCAATTTTTATATTTCTACCGCAATTTTTATATTTCTCCCGCAATTTGAAAATTTTGACCTGGCAACCCTGGGTCAGAATGATAATTAGAGAAATAATAAATTGGGTTTCATATTCCCCGTGATACCAATGAGCTTAATTATTAAATTATTTTTATGATATTTGGCTATATTATATATAATATAATATGATATATATAAAAATGCATTTTTACTTTTATACGTCTTTTTCACTTTTTACGCAAACATAAAAATTGTATTATTAGTAATTAAGCAAAAAATGAATTCAGTTCATCAACTCTCTAAATCAAATACCATGCTTCTTTCCAATGACTAAAACTGCTAAAAAAAAAGCAAGCTCTACACCCGCTTGAAGTGAATCTATATCTTAATTTCATCCTAAACTCCATTTGGGTATTTTTTTATAAAAGATTTTATTAGAGATTAATTATATATCATAGTATATAAAGAACATAGTATAGTCCCGTTATCATTCAGTTGGATACCATTTGGTCATTATATTTTAAATCTTATTAATAATTTTATATTTGTGTATAAAGTATTCTATATCAAATATTCAAGATTCAATCCAACTCCCTTAAATTTTTTTTAAAAAATCTGTATGATCTGAGATATGGTCATCTTTAGAAAACGAGAAAATTTTCAACATACATTGTATTTAATTTTAAGTATCTCCAAAAATAATTAAGCCAGAACCATAATTTAAATTTTTTTTAAAAAAGGCCTTGAATATGTTAGTAAAATATTTTATACTGAAATTAAGTCTATTAAAATGTTGGAAACAGAAGGCGAAATAGCTTAAAGGGAAAACTGACATTTTCTTTTCTTTAAATTTTTTTAATTGATAGATATTATACTTCTACATCCTTATATTTACCAAAAATCCTTGACTTTTACCAAAACTGGTCCATGATTTTTTGCACTTTAAATATTGGCCATATAAAATCGTATATAAAATATCATTTTATATTTTAAAATATAGTATATAATATTTTTTTCAAATTATCAAAATAAAAAGTAAACTCAAAACGATGACATGTAAAAAAAATTGGGTTGGTGGACATTGAAAATCTCTGGATAGGCCTAATATTTTTTTATTTGTTGTATAAAAAAAATAATTTAAAAAAATGTTGTCAATATCTGCCAAATTTTTCTTTTAAAGAATACGATCACTTTTCCTTGAAATAAATAAAATGCAAAGCGTTGCACTTTGAAGAATTTTATATAAAAACAAATTTTACTTGTTTAATTAAGCCGTCTTAATTGTAATGTATCTTAAAAAGTGAATAATGGCCTGATTATTGATCCAATGGAATCCTTGTCTATGATTGCACTACAAATGCATAATTTTTGAAAAGTAACTAAAAAAAAAATTCGTCATTATACAAATTAGATTTAAATACATTCTGAAATAAGGATTGTTGTGATATATATATGAGGAATCAAATTATTTAATTTTTCCATTTAAAATAATCTACAAAGAAATGTTATATAATATATTGAATTCGCGACAATTGATATATGCTAAAATAAAAGATTTTATTATACCAAGTAATTTTAAGTGAACATGTTAAATAAACCACAATATCATTTTTATAATAAAGTAAGGATCTTTCATTAAGACATTCTTTTATAAATAAAAATTATTACTTAAGTATCCATTAATTTAAATATGATGATATTTATGTTAAATTTAATCAACTTTAACTATATAAAGAATCGCTATACGAATATAAAGCTGTCTAGTATACATCTACAGAAAAAAAAACCTTTTTTTCTATATTCATTTCTTTACTTCCGGTTTTTGATATAAATCGAGTTTTAAACACATTTATTTTTATTAAGCTATATAATAAAATCTGATTTATTTTAAGATATTTGAAAATTAATAAAATGCATTTAGTCAAATACTTTTTCCGATGGGAGTAAAATTTTATTTTTTTCTTCTTCTTAGTTATAATATTAGCAAAGCAAATCTTGGCTACGCAAATAGTTATATTTTAAAGCCTCTGCATGTTCTAATCTCCTTCTAACAAGATCTCTTCTGTAGACACTAAGATATTTTATTTCCTGCCAATCGAATAATTAAGAAATACTATTTATAGTTATAATAAATACTACCATATACAAAATTTAAAAAAAAAAATTTGAGGAAGTCGGATTAAAAATCGTCTTTTTTTTTCTTGATTTGATATAGAAATTAACCACTGATATTGTATAATGTTGTTTCCAGCCCTATTTTTCTCCCATATATTTGATAAAATCGAATGTAATAAAATAAATACTCATTTTCGAGCCAAGGTTTTCTATTTATATAAATGGATAATTAGGAAAATCATACAATTCATAAATAATTGTCATAAAAGTAGTTATCTTATAATCAGGGGCGTCGCTAGCTTTTACTATCTCAGGGGGCTCAACTAAAAAAAATTTTATGAGGGGCTTCGCCCTACCCCCAATTTACGAGACTTCGGCCCGCTAATTTGTTAATTTTCAAATAATATGATTATATTTATTTAACTAACGTTATATAGTAATTTAAATAATAAAAGTAAATTAAACTTCTGTTAGCTAAATTAATACTTAGTGTGTTTGATATTATATTTTAATACAGAATTTGATTGCAATCTGACACAGTGAAAATATAATTTATATGTATTAATCTAATGCAATAATTAAAATAGTATTCATTTAATAAAAATTTAAATAGTCTTATTAATTTCTAAATAATAAAATTAAATCTATATATTACTTAATGGAATTATAAAAGAAATCATTCAGGGGGCTATCAAAAAAATTTATTTTTAGTTCAAGGAGATATTAAGGAGTCAGTAAAATAAAAAATTTGCCTCAGGGGGCTATCAAATTTTTCAGGGGCCTCGAGCCCCTGCGCGCCCCCTCTCTCTAGCGACGCCACTGCTATAATGTTGTATTTAATAATACAAATAAAAACTTCTCTAAAACATTGAGTAAATATTATGCATAATTTGCAATTCAACTATAATTTCGAAAAATAGTTATAAAGAAGAAATAAGTGCTATACCATTGATATTTATATTTGATTTAGATAATATAAGCGTAAAAATCAAATTTTCGCTAATTTGTTAAAGAATTCTTGAACATAATATGGTCATAGGAAATGGAGATATACACTACTTTAAAATATTTTAATTTAGGTTTAATTAAGTGACATATTTTGCGTTAATATAATATTTGCCATAGGTTTAAAAAAAACTATCTATAACGACTAAAGCTGTAAAATAACACTCTAATATTCTAAGAAGTATAAATATTTTTATTTCATTCAATATAAACATAGAAAAAAGGAAATTGTATTTATTTTAAGCCTCTAAATACTCTTAGATGATAATGAGTTTTATTGAATAACATTTTAAAATAATTATGGCAATTACTTATATATTTTAGCTTCTTGACTAGTTTATATAAAATATATAAGTTATATTATAGTTTAATGTGTATGTATTTATTATTCTATACCAAATAAATTTTTTTACAATTAAAATTTAATATAAATTATTATATTGTAACAAAAAATTAATCATATAAAAATAGGTGTTTTTAAAATGTCTCGAAATAGAAAGAATCTATATGGAGTTAATTCAATTCAAATTAATTGATTTTAGGTAAAATTTATGATAAGATCGTTTGACAGGATTTTTAATTTTTGTCATATTCATTTTAAAAAGCATTCAAATTTAGGATAATATCCAATTATTAGAAATAAATAGTGTGTATATAATAATTTGAGGTTCTCATTGTCGATATGATTTATATTTTATTTGGAAGGAAGCCTAGAAGACCATAAAGAATCTCCCGCCATTAAAAGAATTGTTGGTTCGATTAGAGGTCTACAAATAGCAAAATTATTAGGCCCGGCCAGGTTAATATCTTTTTCCCAGCGAGTTTAGTGATGTAATATCGCAATCTAGGCGAAGGCCTACTACAATTCTTAACTCTTCATCTAAAAAAAACTCTAAATTCTGTCAAGTAAACCAAGATTTATTTTGACTAAATAGCAAAGATTTTATTATGGGCAATCTCCAAAATTTATACAATATTGGATGTTTAATATAAAATATGAAGTCTTTAGTAAAAACCTTCTTGAAATATATTATCAACATTGAAATTTAACTTTCCATTAGAGTTTGCAGGTGACTTTAATAGGACTGACATCTATTTTTTGGCTAATAAATAATATTGATATTTTAAAAGCATGATAGACAACTGAGGAAATTGTATAAGATTCTATTTTAATTGTAATTGGTTTTTAAAGATTTTTTATTCTCTAGAATTTTATAACTAAACGATAAAAAAATTATCCATAAATGTAATAAATTTTCAATCATCTGATTTTGATAAGTCTACGGTGATAAAACTAATGAGTTATACACGAGCTCTTTTAAGTATTCTAGAAATAGTTGGAAGTTTGTGAGCAATTAAGGTATATCTTTTCCAAGAATGCATGCTTTTGGGCTCTAGACTAGCTTGGTGTAAATTATAAGAGAATGTCCATAAATTTGAAATTAAAGGATTAATGGTTTATTAGAGGAAGTGAAAGCGGGGTTGCCGTTTTTTAATTTGCCGTTTGATTTAATTGTTAGAGTTTTTAATCATGTTGAAATATTGCCCTCATTATAATATAGAATATAGGATAAATTTTATGGAGTTTAATTTCTTGAAATATTTACTGAAGCCTTTAATTAAGATATTGGCAAAACAATGCATTGTACTGGTAATAATAACCACCATGATAAAAATTATATTATATATAATCCACATCATGATATTTTGCAAAATTTTAATTTTTTAAAGTGCAATCAACTCAGCTTTGTACTTACAATGACTGACACTCCCTGATTGCACATCCTGTGCTTGAGATACTTTTAACCTCTATTGCTCCCTTGACGCTAAAAAGGAGCTTGGACCATATCGATGAAAGAACAGCAAAAATTAATTAAACAGAAACGCATGTAAATATGTGATAGATGATTAGTGGGCTATACATAGCAAAGCCAATGGTGAAACTTTTATAATTATATGCTTTCTAATAATGTGAGGGATCTGGCATGACATCTATCGTAAAAATATTAATAAAAATCTCCTACTAGTT